CTACTAGAAGGTCTCCCCGGAGCCTTCTCTTCTCCAGGCTGAACAGCCCCAACTCTCTCAGCCTGTCCTCACAGCAGAGCTGCTCCAGCCCTCGCATCATCCTTGTGGCCTCCTCTGCCCTGGCTCCAGTAGCTCCATGTCCTTGTGCTGTTGGTGGCCCCAGCACTGGAGGCAGCACTGCAGGTGGGGTCTGAGGAGAGCGGAGCAGAGGGGCAGAATCCCCTCCCTCCACCTGCTGCCCACGCTGCTCTGGGTGCAGCCCAGGATCCTTGCAGTGCAGGATGAGGATTTGAACACACAAGCACCACGAGTGTTTGGGTGGTGGCACAGGGGTTGGGGCTTGAACAAATAAAGCCAGAGCAGTTTTCTTCCAGGCTCTGTGCAGTTTTCTTCAGTGCTCTGCACGGGACAGATGCTGTTTGCCTGCAGGCAGGAGGCATCACGTGAGGAAATGAGAAGGAGCCAAATTCTTCCCTGCATTTGTTTATTTTTAGCACCCCGTGGCTGTTTCTCCAGCCTGTTGTTATTAAGTTCCTAGGAACACAGCCCAGAGATTTCCATTTGTCAGCCCGTGGCTTGCGCCGGCTGCGGGAAGGTTGGAAAACAGGGAGAGCATCAGCCAGGAACGAGATGAGCTGAGCGAGGGGCTGGCAGTTCTGTGGTGGGGAGGCTGCCTGGGGCTGGGCTCCCATTTCTAAATCCCAGTTTGGAGCCTGGGGCCGTGGCCCCCACGCAGGGGGATTATTGTCGGTTTGTGGCTTTCAGAGGAACGGAGCTTTCTCGTATCCGCAGCGTTCTTGGCCCTCTGCTCCCAACCTTCACTTTTGGATGAAGAATTTCCTGCTTGCAATGACCTTGGGCTGCTCCGAGCTGCAACGGGGAAGAAACGGAGCAGCTGGATGCTTCTTCAGTTGGGTTTGGGTGTCTTTGCTCCCCCCAGGAAGGGGCAGCTCTTCCATCAGAGCGGAGCAGAGCCCGGCAGGCGTCTTCCACGGGCTGCGAGGGAGAGGCAGAGCCATGAGTGCGATGTAACATGATGTTGGCAGGAGAAGGGGAAGGAGAGAGCCAGAAAATGAGACTCTCTTGACCTGGGGTTGCTCGTTGTGCTTGGATCAGACCTCGCCTTTGGGAAAAAAAAAAAGCACTCTCAGATGATGATTATTATTTTACAAAAGATTATTATTTTACAAATGCTGTTCAATCTTTAAGCATCTACAAATGATTCCCATCATCAACAGCAGCACAGCCCCAGGGCTGCAGGTCAGGGCCTGGGTGCAGCTGGGGCTGGGTGACCCTCATGGTGAGGCTGTGGGTCGGGGTCTGCTTGGACACATAGGGACGATGGAGGAGGTCACCTCCTGCTGTGGCAGTGGGGTCCCCAAGGAGCAATGATCCCTCATCCAGGCTAATGAGGGAAACCAGCACAGGGCAGGTGGTGATGCTCCTGCAGCAGAGGGACCGCATCGGACCTGGGCATCTCGTCAGCCTTGGGTCGTGCCAGCGCTTCTCAGTTGAGCCCTTTTGGATGTTCCTTGATTTTCCCCTCTAACTCTTGAGGAGTTGGAAGATGCTGTAAGACTCTTTGCTCTCCACTCCTCACCATGATGTAAGCTCGGCTCTTTCCCAGCCCGGCTCGGGAAACACCCTCGTAAAACAGGGTCTGCCATCTCGTGGCTGCCCTGCCTGCTCCACGAGCTCACGATGGTGAGGAGCAGCCTCCCTTCATCCCAGCACCAGCTGCAGGTCATCTCATTTCCCTTCAATCTTTTCCCTAGATCAGATAACCGGTTTCTCCACCTCTTTGCACAGTGCTGGAGATCTTCCATCATCCTCCCATGGGTCCTTCCAGCCGATCCCCACCTTCCTGGTCTTCCCCAGCCCTGCCTGCCTCATCGCTCCTCCTCCAGTTTGGCCAGGTCCCCTGTTTGTGCAGCTGATTCTTCCCAAGCTCCAATCCTTGCCTTTGTTTTTATTGAATTCTGTCTTGGCTATTTGGACCCTTCCTCCAGTTCTCTGAGAGCTTTTGGAATTTTAATCCTGGTCTCAAATATATCTGCAGATCCTCCCAGCCTGCTCACATATGGGGAATTAATCATCCTACCATCTACTCCATCATCCAGCTCATTAACCAAGGGGCTGGAATCAGCAGACGCAGCGCAGACCCCTGCGTGTTTTTACGGCAGAGTGGGGTTTATTGCAGATCCCTGCAAAGCCAGAGGGAAACTCCTGCCAATTCTTTCTGGCTCAGTAATGTGTTTTGGCCAATTGAAGAGACCAGTAGGACAATTGTAAACTATTTAATGAAGAAACAGAGTTTGAACGTAGCACTGGAAGGCTGACAGTGGATCTAAATCACTCCCCAGCCTGGGACAGAGAGCTCTCCCGTGAGCTGGGGCAAAACAGAAAGTGCCTGGAGCAGATCAGAGGGCCAGGAGGGGTGGGAGCCCCGTGTGCTGGTACCTGAACAGGCAGTTGGTGAACTAGTCCAGAGGAGCAGGTAAATAAAAAGGGCTTTTCCAACCCAGGCAATCCTGGGGTTCTGTGGTATTTTAAGGGGCTGTCTCCAGCCAAGAGAGCTGTTTCCAGGTGTCCAGCGTGGACCTCACTGAGGTGGGATGGGAAAGGGCTGTGGGTGCCCATTTGGCCGAGCATCACCCAGCTCTCCCGTGCTGCTGCCCCTTGTTTCTGTGTTGCTGCTTTGAGTTAAAAAGGAATCTTGTTTCAAGTTAATTTAAACCTGTTCCCAATCACAACAAGCCCCAGTAACCCAATCTGCTGCGAAACCCTCGCTGGAGGCTTTGCCGTGCTGGAAACAAGTTTGTTTAAATCAACATTGAGAACTCAATGAGTGACAATTTCATGTGTGTTTGTGAAGTGTGGGAGCAGAAGCACTGGGAGCAGAGCGGGGCAGCCAGGAGTGTCCCTTGTGGCTCCCAGGCAGCCGGGCCACTTGCCACCAGCTGCCTTGACAGCTCGGTTTTAATATCTCTTTTCTAAAGATGTCCTGCCCAGCACAGTCTGAGCACTGTTTGCAGCAGCAGATATGAGGGTGAGTGTGTTTTACTGCTGACAATCTGCTTTATTCCTATTCTCAGGGCATTGACACAGGGATTGTGGTGTCCGCGGGGACATTTCTGGGGTCAGTGTGATGTAGGAATGCAGGGACAGCATCTGCTCCTCAGCAATGAAATGTTTGTTCAGTGAAACCTTCCCCTTGAATGGCAAAAGTGGGGTCCTGACTGGGGACTGAGCTGGTGACCTGGTCACAAAGCAAAAATCCAGGGGATTATTCCCAGGGAAAATGACATGTCTGGGTTTCTGTTGGGAGGACAGGGGCATCTTCCTGGGGGAGAGGGCGAGCGTGCAATGCACTGGCCCAGCAACTGCACAGAGACGCTGCTGCTGCCTTTG